TATTTTGTTAGGTATAATGCTTATTGCAGTATTAATAATTGAGTGCTCAATCTTATGCCAAGTAGTTTCAATACTTTTATTAGTATCAGTATTGAGTGGAGTATGATGTAAATTAAGATTGTCAGTAAGAAGGTCTGAAAATTCTGTCCACTTTTCAGGTGACATGCTTTTGTAGTTGAAGATTCTTCAGCTAATACCAGTATGATAGCATGAAGATTTGCTATATGCATTAGGAAAAGTGCCGCGTAAGCAGCAGGTTATACTAAAAAAATTAAAAAAATCTAATAACTAAATAAAGTTAAAACTATTAAAATATCAAACCAATTTAAATTAAAGAGAGAATCTATTTGTTGCCGGCGGTGACAGACCCAGGGCAATTAGATTGCACGATTCAAAAACCTCAAAAATTTCAAATCAAAATAACTCAAAATTATGCTTATGAAACCAACTTCCGTATCTTAACAAAAAATATTTCTTGCATAATTTTACCATATATTCTAACTCTAAATATAATTCTAAAAAAAATCCGGTACTGTTAACGCCGTTGACAAGTATATTATTTCTAAACTAAAAACTAAAAAATTAAAATAAAATTTAAATTTGAGTATAGCTAAGCAAAAGCTAAAAACTAAAATTTAAAATTTTTAAAAAATTAAAAACTAAATAGATTATAACTAATTTTCACCCATGGTATATCACCTGGTGTTATAAAATGTTATTAAAAATTAAATAACCTTAAGGTTAGGGGTTAGAGTTAGCTTTAGATTAGGATTCATAATAAAATTTTAGTTATTGTTTTTTTATTTCTTCGCTTTGTTTTAGTTATTCAAGATCTAGTGATCTGATTGGTTTGACATATAACTAGTTGATATCACCTCGGGGCAAGTTAGCAATAGTCAACTAAATAAATATAAAACTATATTATAAAAGTATTTTCAAATTTAAAACCTAAAAAAACTAATAACCTAAAATTTAAAGCTTAAAAACTAAATTAATTTAAAATTATATTTTCTAAAGAATTTATTTAAACTAAGAGCTAAAAACAAAAGTTAAAATTTAAAAATTTAAAAAACAAATTTAAAACTATATTCTAAAGTATTATTCAAGCTTAAATGTTAAAACATTAAAAAACTAAAATATAAAAAAACTTAAAAATTAACTATATCCCCAGAATATTTCTTGGGCATGAAAGTTAAAAACTAAAAACTAATTATTAAAAAATTTAAAAACTAAATAAAATTAAAACTGCAGTCCCAGAATATTGCATGGGCTTAAGAGCTAAAAACTAAGAAACTAATATTTAAAAAATTTAAAAACTAAATAAAATTATGACTGCATACCCAGAGCATCGCCTAAGCCTGAGGGCTATAAAATTAAAAATCTAAAAATAAAAAAAAAACTAAAAGCTAAATAAATTTAAAACTGCATCTTAAGAATATTACAAGATCTAAAAGCTAAAAGATTAAAAAAATAAAATTTAAAAAAACAAAAACTATAAAAAAAAAATTAAAACAATACCCCGGGCATCGCCCGGGCCCAAGAGCCAAAATTAAAAACAAAATTTTAAAAAAATAAACTAAAATAAAAAAATTAAAAACTATAAAAAATCAAGACCTTGTCTCGGAGCATTGCCAGGCCTGAGAGCTAGTACTGTAACCGACATTCATGTTTGGAAAACAAGATAATAAAATGGTATTGATAATACAGTAAATAAACAGTTATTAAAATATATATTATATTGTTAATAATAAAAACTATTCATATTAATCAGTTATCATATTTATGAAATGCCTTTTAAATAAATTTATTAATAATAAATATAAAACTAATTAACCCAATTGCAAGATTGAAAGCAGTTAATTCATTGTATAAAGAATTTGCTGCTGTACTAGTGCTTGATAATTAAAAAATTAATATAAATTAAAATTGTGCTTTCATATGATAGGTTTTGCATAAAAAAATTACCTTGTGTTATTTGGTGTTAGTGGTAAACCTGATGGTAGTGGAGGTGTTGACGGTAAACCTGATGGTGGTGGAGGTGTTGACGGTAAACCTGATGGTGGTGGAGGTGTTGACGGTAAACCTGATGGTGGTGGAGTATCCCCAGGTGGCGAAACATTGGTATCTACTGGTGTGCAAGATGTGTTTACGAATTTTGTGGTATATATTGACATTGTAGCTGTTTCCGTTGTAACTATTGACATTGTAGATGTTTCCGTTGTAACTATTGATACTGTATCTGTTTTCGTTGAAACAATTGGCATTGTAACTACTGACGTTGCAAATTGTGTTTGGTATACAGTAATGGTTTCTCGTTTTTGCAAATTTTTTTTGTTAAAGTGGTTGTTTGCAATTTCATTATGATGGGTCTTTGCTACCGCTGCAATGATTCCAAAAACAAGTGCAAGAATGTATACTTTATTAATGAAATAAACCATCATTTATTTTTTAATTATATAATTATACAATTGTATAGATCTTTTTTTTTTTTAAAAAAAAGGAAAGGAATGAAAAAGTGAAGCAAATATCATACCATAAGCCATGTTTATATAAAATTTGCAAAGGCAGTCTGCAGTCTTAATAACCATGTATTATAAAAGCTCAATGTGTTTCTCAATGATTTTCCAATGTTCCGATATATATTTTCTTATATTATGTCTCACAAATAAGTCATTGCTTTGACACTGTTAATCCTTGAAGAATCTGATTTAATTATTAGAACGATCTATTATTATATAAGGAACTTGTGAATCTCGCTATTCATTTAATAGTAGATCATCAAACTTGCCCTTTCAATACAGCAATATACACTCTTGATGAGCTCAACGCGTTCCTCAATGATTTTCCAATGTAGGAATGCCAAATATCATAAACATTCGGTATATATTTTTTTATGCATGTCTCACAAATAAGCTTTTATTTTGATACTGTTGAGAGACCTATGAACCTTATAATTTATGGTATTTATTGAATAGCTTTTTAAAAGTTTATAAATTTTTATATTCATTCCAAATTCAAATTATAATAAAATTATTTGTACTCGACGACTATATGCATGTCTATTCGACTTTTACATTACAATGATATATTAATGCTTGCTTAAAAATGTTTGCATTTTTGATAGTTGAAAATGAATTTCAAGTTAGGATCTTGGTATATAGTGAATGTATGAGAACTGCATCATGTATTATGTTACGGAGGTTAATCCAAAATTTTTTAACGTCCGTGACTTCTTCCCTTCTCAGTTTTTGTGAACATTTTGGAATTGCTTTGTGTGCTACAATTTATAGGTGAGAACATCCAAAATATGGAAAATTGTTACACGAATGTTATGTGAATGACACATGCGAACCAGCAATCAAAATCGCAAATGAATCGAAAAAAAAGAAATTTAATCAAAATTTACATTTAAAATTTAAAATAATTGTCGTCAAATGTTATAATAGAGTAGATAAATATGTTTTTATTGGTTTGGATCAATTTTAGTTACGTTATTAATTCATAGCCCCACATTGCTATTAAAAAAATTTTACAACCTATACGGTCAATTCTATATTTAATATAAACCCGAATATTTATATAATCATGTTTATTATTATCGAAGAAGCCTTTAAACCTTTATGGTCTTGTTATATATGTTATAATACGCACTATATATGGGTTTTTTGCCTTGAAATTACCCACCGACATTTCCGATCGGGTTAATCCGGATAAAAATAAAACCGAGTACCGGTCCATATTTATATGTAAATAATCTTTTACCTTATTGATTCAATAGTTACTCAATAACGATAAACTATTGAATCAGTAAAGGTAAAAGATGATTAACATATAAACATAAGGTAGCTGCGCAACGCAGTTGCGCTAGAAACCAGGAACGAAAATAAAAATACTGTTGGCCTTCTCAAAACC